CTTATACGGATCTACGGAAAGTTTCGTAAAACATCAAAAGGTTCGGCATGCACTATACGAAACTGTTCATAGTTTCGTAAATGATGTAATGGTTCGGTATATCTTTTACGAAACCATGGCTAGTTTCGTACAATCTTTCCGTAATTATTAGAGCACTTATGCAACTATGAATGGCTTCGTAGAACTAATACGAAACCTTTAGATGCTCTGCGAAACTGCCAATGGTTTTGTGACATATACACAAAACCTTCTGATAAATGACGAAGCTCTTAATGGTTTCGTATAAAATATACGAAACTATTATATGCATTTCAAAACTATCAATGGTTTCGTAAAATGTCTCCGAAACCTTTCCAACATTTACGAAACTATGCATGGTTCCGTAAAGATATGCCGAACCATTGCATCATTCACGAAACTATCGATGGTTTCGTATCACGTATACGGAACCTTTAGATGCTTTACGAAACCATCAATGGCTTCATATATTTTGTACAGAACCATAATAAAGATTGTGAAACCAACAACAGTTCCGTACAAATTGTACGGAACCATTTTACTACTTGCGGAAGTAAGGGTGGTTTCGTACAATGTATACGGAACCATTTTACTACTTGCGGAACTAAGGGTGGTTCCGTGTTCTAGGTACAGTACCTTTAGGTGTCCTACGAAACCGTAAATGGTTTCGTATATTGTATGCAGAACCATAATAAAGGTGGCGAAACCCTCAATAGTTCTGTACAACTTGTACCGAACCATTTTACTGCTTGCGGAACTAAGGATGGTTTTGCGTTTCATATTCGGAACCTTTAGATATGCTACGGAACTATCATTAGTATCGCATAATGTATACGGAACCATAATATAATTTACGAAACCATCAACAGTTCCGTACAAGTTATACGAAACCATTTTACCTCTTACGACACTAACGATGGTTTCGTAATGTATATACGGAACGATTATAGATTTCGTACATTGTTTATGAAACCATTATGTAAGACTTACAAAATTGTCAGAAGCTTCGCATAACAAATGCGAAATGTTTTGATATTCTAGAAAGCCGATCATGGTTTTGTTGGTTAGCTAAACGCTCCATTCCATTGCACGACATCAATGATAGTCTCGCAAAATACATTAAGCTTTATCAATTTTCCCATAGAGACTGTTCAAATTCTAGTAAGCGATGACAGGGTCGCTCTGCTTCTCTTGGAAGCATATGCCATAATGAATACCATCGAAAATTTCTTACTTATTCGTTTGGCTAAGAACGTTCCGCTGTTCGCTATAATACTTTAATAGAGAACACTCATCGACACAATAAAGCTTATTAGCGAACATTGGAGGTATAATAAGGGAATATTGAAGAAGTGTCCGTACAAATACATAATGCACAAGCCAGAGAAAAAGATCAGGGTATGGCACAATCAGATGATCATACAGATAATGTCAGGTTTACTTATCGATTCCAGATACTAGTTAACCGAGCGCCGAAAGATAAATTGATAATGTTTAGAGCTCACCGAAATAAGACAAGCATATTTTGGATGTGGGCCCGAGTGTGGGTGTACGTTTGAGTGTGGTTTTCATTCTTTGCTTTATCCACACCAATCATCCACCCACACCCACAATTTTTACTGTTACCCAACCAATGCTTTCTAGACTAGAATTTTCCAAAACATATGCATTTATTCCTTCATCCGATATTTTCACTCGCGTGCTATCATTTATAATATTAAGCACCAACATTGAGTAGTTAATAGATATCTATAAGGAGAATCATCAATTAGGTAATCTAAATTGATGAAGATTACCATGCAGTAGATGATTAATATGTATGAGGATCAGCAATAGGTGAGTCATTTGTATCATCGAGGGCCAACATTAATCTTTGATCTGCGACAGACAAACACACAAACACGTTTTATTTCATATGACCTCCCTTTATTCGAAGGGAAAAAGTCAGATTTTTGCTGAAATTTTTATATTCTTTCGAAAATCCCTTTTGAGGTTTTGTACGAAACCTTAGAAAAACGGAATGTGTAGGGACAGAGAAGATGTCGTGCCCTACATACTCAGTTTAACTATTATTTACAAAGTCTCTTCGTTTTATAATATCTTCTAATTTTTCCAAAAGCCCATTGTGAGGTTTTGTACGAAACCTTAGAAAAACGGAATGTGTAAGGACAGAGAACATGTCGTCCCCCACATACTCAGTATAACTATTGTTTACAAAGTCTCTTCGTTTTATAATATCTTCTTATTTTTCCAAAAACTCATTGTAAGGTTTTCTGCGGAACCCTAAAAAACGGAATGTGTAAAGACAGAGAACATATCGTGCCCTATATAATGAGCATAAGAATTTTTCGTTTGGAACTTTGGATGAGTGTTAACTGATAACATTAGACAAACGTCTTTACTTTTTTTTTATGATAGTTTCAACTAGGGGTGGCACTTTAACTTTACTTTAAAAGTTAAAGTTAAAGTGGCACTTTAAACTTTAATTAAAGTGAAAAATTTTTAAACTTTAAACTTTAATTAAAGTTTAAAGTAAAACACTTTAAAACTTTAAACTTTAATTAAAGTAAAAATTTTAGCACTTTAACTTTTTCATTAAAGTTAAAGTGTTTGTGTCATGCCGTACTGTAGGAGTACCCTTAAGTCCTCAAGTCCTACTTTTGAACAAAATTTTTTTTATACAGAAATAGACTTTTTGAGAAAAAATAAATTTTTTTGGAAACACCCAAAATTTTTGTGAAACAAATTTTTTTATGCAGAAACTGACTTTTTAAGAAAAAAACTTTTTTTCAAAAAAAATTTCGAGTGTTTTCAAAAATATTTTTTTTTTGTCAAAAAGTCTATTTCTGTATAAAAAAAGAATTTTCGAAAAATAATTTTTTTCGAACAAAATTTTGGGTGTTCCCAAAAAAATTTATTTTTTCTCAAACAGACTATTTCTGTATTAAAAAAAATTCTTTTCGAACAAATTTTTGGGTGTTCTCAAAAAAATTTATTTTTTCTCAAAAAGTCCGTTTCTGTATAAAAAAAAAATTTTGTTCAAAAGTAGGACTTGAGGACCAAAGGGTACCCCTACAGTACGGCATGACACAAACACTTAACTTTAATGAAAAAGTTAAAGTTAAAGTGCTAAAATTTTTACTTTAATTAAAGTTCAAAGTTTAAAAATTTTTCACTTTAATTAAAGTTTAAAGTGTTTTTAAAGTTAAAGTGCCACCCATAGTTTCAACCATATGTTTTTTCATGCACGTTGAGCTTATACCAAACAAAATGAGCCTGCTTATTTTTTCGTTGTACTTGATCCATGAATGAATTCTTAGGTGAGTCCGATATTATCGAAATTAATAACCTTTTTTTTGTTTATTCCATATCAATACCTATTGCACAAATCATGTATTGGGTGCCGTTTATTTTATAGAATCAAATAAACGTGTTTTGTTAATAGGTTGATTCATATATGATATTTTAAGTGAGTTTGCCTTTATGAAAAACAAATGAATCTCTATATTTTGGTTTTAGGTTGTTCTATATATGGAACTTTGGATAAGTTTTATCTTATTGAATTTGATTAATTTCTATATTTGGTTATTCTAGATCGATCCATACATGGAATTTTAAGTAAGTTCAATCATATAGAACTTAATAAATTTCTTTTTTTCCTTATAGGCTGATCCAACTACGAAAATAATGAGGTAAGTTCGATCTTATATAATACATATATTTATTTATTTCTATATTATAGTTTGATTCGAATATGAAAGTCATCGGTGGATATTCAATTATTTGGAACTGGCCATGGTATGGATAACATGTTGAATATTTCTCAAAATATGACAATGGTATATATATCAACTCAATCGAATGTGAGTGAAGATCGACTATCGAGTAATTTTGCGCAAAATTACTCGATAGTCTATCTTCACTTACATTCGATTGAGTTGATATATATACCATAGTCATATTTTGAGAAATATTCAACATGTTATTCATACCATGGCAGTACTAGATGTTTATATGAAATTTCTGACTAGCTGAACCATTAGAACAAGGTTTAGTGCAAATCATTTTGTACGAAACCTTTTGAACATCATTTTGGAAAGGTTTCGTATTGAACCTTTTATACGAAACCTTTTTGGCTTTTTCCTGTGAAGGTTTCGTACTGAACCTTGCGTACGAAACCTTTTGAATATTTCGCGGTAAAGGTTTCGTACTGAACCTTGTGTACGAAACCATTTTTCCCATTCATCAAGAAGAAGTTTCATACGAAACCTTTTTTTTGCGAAACCAACGAAGGTTCGGAACGTGTGCCCGCGGTCCGATCCTTTTTTGGTTTCGTAAAATACCCTTTTTTTTTTACAGTGTAATTGCATAAAAATTCATGCAGTTAAATCAATTTCCAATAAACATATAATCTGTAATAATATAAATTTTTGCGGTTTTATTATATGCATATTAATGCTATCTTTTTTTATTTTTCTAGTGTTTATTCTTATCGATATTTTTCTCTTCTTGTCTCATATTATCTCGGTAACGAAATTAGTTTGGTATACTTAAGTATTCGTTCTTCTTCGTTTTCATTTTCTTCCTCTATCCTACATGACATGTGGAGAAACAATATTTACTAACAACAATTTATTGTCCTCTCTTTTCTTTTCTTCTCCCTAGATAATAACCTATAGATATCGTAGCTTATCTTCTTTTTAACCGATCCCTTCCATTCAGTACAGACGATTCATTGTTCACGAAGCAACCGACCGTTACATCGTCTAGGCGCCTCATTATCCAAAAGTAACCGTTTCCAACTAATTTTTCAAAATATCCCGCCGCTAGCATCCTATTTAAGCGCATGTTTTATGTATACCATCATTTATTTTCCACTTTCAATTCAAGCTGACCACAGTGTATTCCCTTCCACAAATACACTAATCAACTTATTGTTCATTCTAAAACATAAAATAAAGCTTTTTGTTATTTATATCTCATCAATCATCAATAACACCTTCCTATCCATCTATGATATATTACAAATGCATTTTTTTACTTTAGGAATATTTATCAACTTCTTGTTCATCATTCAACATTAAAAAAACCTTTTGTTATTTATATCTCTTCAATCATCAACAACAAGTTCATATCTATCTATGCTACATTATAAATGTTTTTTTTTCTTTATCATAGGATAACTTATCAACTTGTTGTTCATCGTAAAAAAATTTAAAAAAAAACTTTACGTCATTTGTAGTTATTCGCATATCAACAACAAGTTCGTATCCATCTATGATACATCACAAATATTTTTTTATTTACTTTAGGATAATTTAGTAACTTGTTGTTCAACATCAAACAATTAATAAATCTTTACATTATTTATAGTTATTCGTATATCAACAACAAGTTCGTATCCATTTATGGCACATTACAAATGTTTTTTTTTCTTTACTTTAGGATAATTTAGTAACTTGTTGTTCATCATAAAAAATTAAATAAAAACCGTTGTTATTTATATCTCTTTAATTATCAACAACAAGTTCGTATCTATCTATGGCACATTACAAATGTTTTTTTTTTCGTTTACTTTAGGATAATTTAGTAACTTGTTGTTCATCATAAAACATTAAATAAAACTTTGTTATTTATATCTCTTCAATCATCAACAACAAGTTCATATCCATCTATGGTACATTATAAATGTTCTTTTTTCTTTATCATAGGATAACTTATTAACTTGTTGTTCATCGTAAAAAAATTAAAAAAAAAACTTTACGTCATTTATACTTATTCGTATATCAACAACAAGTTCGTATCCATCTATAATACATTACAAATATTTTTTTATTTACTTTAGGATAATTTAGTAACTTGTTGTTCATCATTCAACATTAAATAAAACTTTTTATTATTTATATCTCTTCAATCATCAACAACAAGTTCGTATCTATCTATGGCACATTACAAATGTTTTTTTTTTCGTTTACTTTAGGATAATTTAGTAACTTGTTGTTCATCATAAAACATTAAATAAAACTTTGTTATTTATATCTCTTCAATCATCAACAACAAGTTCGTATCCATCTATGGTACATTATAAATGTTCTTTTTTCTTTATCATAGGATAACTTATCAACTTGTTGTTCATCGTAAAAAAATTAAAAAAAACTTTACGCCATTTATAGTTATTCGTATATCAACAATACGTTCGTATTTATCTATGATACACTGCAAATATTTTTTTTTACTTTAGGATAATTTAGTAACTTGTTGTTCATCATAAAACATTAAATAAAAACTTTTTTTATTAATATCTCTTCAATCGTTAACAACAAGTTCGTATCCATCTATGATACATTACAAATGTTTTTTTTTCTTTCCTTTAGGATAATTTAGTAACTTGTTGTTCATCATAAAACATTAAATAAAAATTTTTGTTATTTATATCTCTTTAATCGTTAACAACAAGTTCGTATCCATTTATGGCACAGGAGAAATATTTTTTTGTGTTTACTTTAGGATAATTTATCAACTTGTTGTTCATCATTCAACATTAAATAAGACTTTTTGTTATTTATATCTCTTCAATCGTCAACAACAAGTTCGTATCCATCTATGGTACATTAGAAATGTTTTTTTTCTTTATCATAGGATAACTTATCAACTTGTTGTTCATCGTAAAAAAATTAAAAAAAAAACTTTAAGTCGTTTATAGTTATTCGTATATCAACAACAAGTTCGTATCCATCTATGATACATTACAAATATTTTTTTATTGACTTTAGGATAATTTAGTAACTTGTTGTTCATCATTCAACATTAAATAAAACTTTTTATTATTTATATCTCTTCAATCGTCAACAACAAGTTCGTATCTATCTATGGCACATTACAAATGTTTTTTTTTTCGTTTACTTTAGGATAATTTAGTAACTTGTTGTTCATCATTCAACATTAAATAAAACTTTGTTATTTATATCTCTTCAATCATCAACAACAAGTTCGTATCCATCTTTGGTACATTATAAATGTTCTTTTTTCTTTATCATAGGATAACTTATCAACTTGTTGTTCATCGTAAATAAATGAAAAAAAAAACTTTAAGTCGTTTATAGTTATTCGTATATCAACAACAAGTTCGTATCCATCTATGATACATCACAAATATTTTTTTATTTACTTTAGGATAATTTAGTAACTTGTTGTTCAACATCAAACAATTAATAAATCTTCACATTATTTATAGTTATTCGTATATCAACAGCAAGTTCGTATCCATTTATGGCACATGAGAAATATTTTTTTTATTTACTTTAGGATAATTTATCAACTTGTTGTTCATCATTCAACATTAAATAAAACTTTTTGTTATTTATATCTCTTCAATCGTCAACAACAAGTTCGTATCCCATCTATTGTACGTTAGAAATGTTTTTTTTCTTTATCATAGGATAACTTATCAACTTGTTGTTCATCGTAAGAAAATTAAAAAAAAAACTTTACGTCATTTATACTTATTCGTATATCAACAACAAGTTCGTATTTATCTATGATACATCACAAATATTTTTTTATTTACTTTAGGATAATTTAGTAACTTGTTGTTCAACATCAAACAATTAATAAATCTTGATATTATTTATAATTATTCGTATATCAACAACAAGTTCGTATCTATTTATGGCACGTTACAAATGTTTTTTTTTCGTTTACTTTAGGATAATTTATCAACTTGTTGTTGATGATTGAAGAGATATAAATAACAAAAAAGTTTTATTTAATATTGAATGACGAACAACAAGTTCGTATGCGTATATGTAAGCTTATAAATAGTTTTTTTTTCATCTTAGAAATATTTGCTACCTTGTTGTTCAACATCAAACAATTAATAAATCTTTACGTCATTTACACTTAATCGTATATCAACAACAAAGTGGTATGGATATATATGTAAAAGTATTGACATTTTGTTTTTGATTTCATCTTAGAAATATTTGTTACTCTGTTGTTCAACGTCAAACAATTAATAAAGCTTTGCATTATTTATAGTTATTCGTATATCAACAACAAGTTCGTATGAATATATGTAAACTTATAAATAAGTTTTTTTTTCATCTTAGGAATATTTGTTACCTTGTTGTTCAACGCCAAACAATTAATAAAGCTTTACATTGTTTATAGTTATTGGTATATCAACAAGTTCGTGTGCATATATATGTAAAAGTATTGACATATTTTTTTTTAAATTTCATCTTAGGAATATTTGTTACTTTTTTGTTCAACGTCAAACAATTAATAAATCTTTACGTCATTTATAGTTA